TTGATTTAATTAGACATTCTTTCTGGTCTTCTGCCATGATGTAGCTATGCTTTTTTCAGAACTTAACTCTTCAGGTTAGCTATGTACGCCACATTTGAGACAAATAAATTTCCATTGGTGAGGATGCCATAACCTCAGATTTAAGAATTGGAGTTGTTGCCATACGTCACATAGCCAACATCTGGAGAGAGTTTGAGATCACGCAAAAAGTCTTTCTGCCCTGTCATGTGCATAGAACAAGCACTATCAATATATCATATTGTATCTTGTTCTGAAAGCATAGAATGCCTGCAAAATTTGTGAATTCTGGAGTTTTTAGGCTTCGAGTTAGATTTTGGGAATTTTGTCACACCCCCAAACCGAAGCGGCGAAAATGTTCGGGGGGTGGAGGACGTCATGCGTAGTATCACAACAATTGAATAATAGTAATCAAAGCAACAACAACCATTATATTAATAGTAATATGTTTACATTGAATATGAATTATACATGATTGACACCAAAAGTAAATAACAAGTAAAGACTCGAAGCTACTATGCTACGTCTTCTTAAACCCGGTGCATGTACTTGTTTACTAGTGTCCCGTGCATACAAGTAGGTTTTGAAACAGTATCAACATAAAGCTGGTGAGTTCATAAGTGTTATCTTTTAGAAAACTATTCTTTGTTCTTTGGAAACGTAAATTATGTTTCTTCTGAAAATCTTATATTTTCTGATGTAATGAATGTTAAGTAAAAATGATTCTTTGATGTCTGTTGAAAGTGTTCCTCAAGAAAATCTAATATTTTCTTATGTAAAGTATGATTAACCCATTCCTTCTATGACTTCTTAGTTCATACTAGTTATGTATAAAACCAATATCGGATAGACAGTTAATTGTGTGGATCTGCCCTAAACCCACAACCAAACAAGGTGTCGAATTAGTGTTTAAGTCCATAACTATTTTGGTATGTACTTGACCCGATTGTGCATTGCCTTCACACTGGTGACTAGACAGGATGATTGTTGAGGAGAGAGGATGGTTTATTGTTAAGAATAATATATTAGGGTATACATATGATTTGTTAATATATTATATGAATAATATGTTAATTTGGAATCATATTATTAATTAGTATTTAATCAGAAATTAATTTAGAATTAATATTGGGATAAAAGGAACTAACTGAAAGTGCAGGGGCTATTTTGTAATTATTCAATAGTTGAGGCTTTGGGCCATTGGATCACCTTTATTAAGGCTTGAACGGAAATCCTAGAAGGATCTAGGAGTTTTCGTCCAAAGGCTTAAGGAATGGAGTCAATGGACTTGCTTAGGCCCTAAGCTTAGGGATTAGGGTTTATACATTGAAACCCTAGTTAGCCTTAAGTATAAATAGCACCCTAAGGCACTAAGATTTCGTAAAAGCCTTGGGAAAACCTAAAAGGGACGAATTCTAGGGCAAGATATCCTTCTCTCCTCTCTCTCATATTCATCCTTTCACCTAGTGTGTTTGTGAGCCATTAGAGGTACTACACTTGTGGTACTTGCTTTCAAGAGCTAAGGAAATTCAGGGAACTAGTTGTTATTACTATATAACAACCAAAGGTATGTATTCTATTCTTCTATGTGGATTTCAAAAATAGTACTACCATGCCATGTTTCTTTTTGTGTTCATAAATTTGTATAACTAATAGTGAAAACATAGATCCAACTCTAGGGTTGCATGCACACATGGTATCAGAGCCATTGATTCTTGTTTTCAATTAGCTTTATTCAAATGTATGAACCTGACATTTTAGGGTTTATAGCTAGTAAACCCTATGGCTTGGTAATTTTCGCAATTAGGGTTGCAAAACCCTAGTTGGCGAATTTTTGATAGGGTTTTTAAACCCATTCCTTTACCTCCATATTTTCGAAATTAGGGTATGTAACCCTAGGGTTTTTCGAAAATCATATGTCCCCAAGATTAGATCCTAAATTTTAGGGATTTGGATAATGCCATATCTTGTAATTATCCTTTAAATGTTTAAATTTGGGAATTAAAGATTTTGATTTATCCCATCCCATAATTTCAAATTGTACGGGATTTAAGGACATCCTTACTAAAATAAAAGATAATTGTCAAATTAATTAGATAAACATTTCCTTATGTGGTAAACTTTATTTATTTGAATTATTTGATAGATTATCTTGCAAGAAATTGAAGTAGGCCATATTTAGATAATTACTAATTAATTTGTTAATTATTATTATTTGTAATTTGATCTAGAATGTTCTCCCTTATGTTTTGAGAAGTTTCAAAAATTGCCTTCAAATTTTGGAATTTAAATTTTTTGATTAAAAAGTTTAATTTTGAAATGTTAAATTCTAAAACCCTAGTATTTTGAAAAAAAAAATTCAAATTACACCCTTATGGTTTGATTAATTAATTAAAGTGTATTATTAAAAGAAATTTAATAAACCCATAAAATTTTGTTTTACATTTAATTAAATTAAAAGTATAATTTATTAAATTAGATCACCTAGTATTTTAAAAATGTAAAATACACCTTATACTATATATAACATTAAAAGTCTAATATCATATATGTATAACTTAAACTGCTAGTCTTACCGTTAGTAGGCCTCATTCACGAAATCAATCTATAAGGGGGGTATAAGGTTATAGCCTATAAAATGGACGTTTAATGGGTATGCACTCTCACCCACCGCTTCCTTGATTGGTGGAGGGTGTCCACTCTCGCAAAATAAGGGGGTATAAGGTTATGGCCTATAAAATGGATGTTTAATGGGTGTCCACTCTCGCAAAATCTGGCAGACAGAAAGAACGTGATAGTGGCTGAGAATAGGGTATTAGAGACAAAGTGAACACATTCGATCGAGACAAAATCAAAATTTAAATGGGGATCAAGAGAGAATAAAATGCACGAACGACAATGAAGGGTGAATGTTGTTTTAAAGGTCATAGTGGCCAGGGTTTCTGGGTATCTTTAGAGGCTAGAAATTTGTATTGGTAAAGTTCTTAGGAGGCGAGGATGGAGATGTTAAAGTGTATTTAACTTTGACCAATTCAAATGGCTGAAATTGAGAGAATTTTGGTTAACCTCGTTTACGCATTTACCAGGTTGATTGGATTAGATTTCGCAGCATAAAATCATTGTACATGATACAGTAGTAACTTGTGCCTCTTAATTTTCAGCATTTGACCAAATATGTGTATATATATATATATATATATATATATATATATATATATATATAAATAAATAAATATATATATATATATATATATATATATATATATATATATATATATATATATATATATATGTATATATATATATATGTATACATGTGTGTGTATATGTTCAGGTTCATTTGAGACCATGCTAATTTTGTGAGGCCGTGAGACCAAATTTAAAAATAATTTTAAAATGCAAAATAAAAAAAAATCAAAAAATTTCTTTTTTTAATTATTATTTTTGGAACTTTATTTACCTAAAATAAATAAAAATAAATAAAAAAATTACCGTTTTTTTAAATACGTGAAATATTATAATAGAATATTAAACTATACATTTCTAATATAATTTTTAGAATTTTTAGAATATTCTACTAAAATGTGTAAAAAATGTTTTTTGTTTTTTTTTGTATTTATTTATTTATTTATTTATTGGTATTTTTTTTATATTTATTTTTTGAAAATATATATTCCGAAAATAATATTGGAAAATATAAAATTTTGAAAATTTTCAATTATTTTGCATTTTAAAAATGTTTTTTTTATTTTATCTACTAAATGAATGGCAACGATTGCGTATTACGGTCTCACAAAATTAGACCGTCTCACATAAATCTGACAACATATATATATATATATATATATATATATATATATATATATATATATATATATACCTATATATATATATATATATATATATATATACACACACACACACACACATATATATACATATGTGTATATATATATATATATATATATATATATATATATATATATATATATATATATACACTAGCCGTTTATCCGCACCAAGCGACGAGTGTGACAATGATGGATGAATGCTGAAAGATGAATTAAACCCTAGAAATGGAAACATCAGCGATATATATCAAAGATTTGTCAACATAAATTGTGAGATTTGAGGAAATACGGAGATAAGGAATGAACCGGCTCTAAATAACCTAAAAATAGGGGATAACAGATTTGACATTTTCAACCGTTGACCATATATAGTCTATTCTTTTTGTAATGCATAAATTGATTGTATCAATGAATTGTATGTTTGTACGACTTAAAATTCAATATTTGACCAAAAATGTTTTATAAGGTAATTAAGTTATATATATATATATATATATATATATATATATATATATATATATATATATATATATATATATATTCGTGTGTAACATCTTCAAATCTAAGTGCTAATATATACTAAAGAAAAATAGTTATAAGTATTGTTTTTGCGAACGATATTATTTTTTTTATGGATTAATAAACTTGCTTGTGTATAGTTTCTTGAATCAAAATTAAATAAATTATTTTTCATCAAATTATGCATACGTTTTTATGCTTATTTTTTATGATTATTTGAAAAGGTAAACTTTTATTAAATTATTGAAAATTTTCATGTACAATGGAAGACATTTTTTTCCATGATTAAGGTTATGCGGTTGCCTCTAAGCCGCTTGTTTGTGATAACAAAATATGCTTAGGGCATTAGAAGACCACATACGTTACGCATTTACAGACGAAACACCAAACATGGTTTTCATTATATCACTGTAATAGAAAACACAATATACATGTGGCATTAAATGATGACATATGAAACTAGTTTTGTCGGTTTTTTGAACATTTGTTTTTGCTTCAATGATTTGCCGGTTGACTTAAAACTCTTGTACTACATTTTCGTTACTATTTTACTTTTGTACATCCTTAACAAAATGATTTTTTTTCTGCTTTATATACCACTTTATATGCTTTTCATTATTGATTTTAATTTAATTCTAATGATTATATTTTTTGTGTACGTTCAATAACAACAGAAACATACTGTAAATCAATTCTCACCAATAGACGCAACACAATTTAGTATTATATATTTCTTTATTCGTTACGACTTGCTTTATTCAAGTTTAATTTTATTACATTATCACTTTCTTGCCACTCTAAAAAACGGTTGGAGTCGATTTGCATGAAGCAACCTAATACATATTCGAGGCTAAACGAGGGGCCAAAAGGACCTCAAGTGGAGTAGACTTGCTGATAGTCAGTCCCGAAGTTTCACTCATATCAATAGGTTCATTTGATGGATTTTTTAGCACAAATTGTTGAATGAAACTAGCTAGTGTTAAACCAACAGCCTGAAGAGCGAAGGGAATACCAGGGCACATTCTTCTACCACTACCAAAAGGTAGTAACTCATAATGTTTTCCCCTGAAATCAATATCCTTATGACTTGTCAAGAATCTCTCCGGCCTAAACTCGAGGGGATCTGACCAAATATTTGGATCACGATGCATCTTATAAACATTTACCACCAGACGAGTGCCTTTTGGGATGTTGTAGCCACCCACAATGCAATCCTCAATGGACTCATGAGGAATCGAGAGAGGAGCAGCTGGGTACAAACGCAATGTTTCTTTGATGATGGCATCAAGGTAGGTTAAGTTCTTCAAGTCTGACTCCTCCACTAGTCTGTCTCTTCCAACATGCTCATCAATTTCATCTTGCGCAATTTCTAATGTTTTTGGGTGGTTTAGCAACAACGACAAAGCCCAGGTTAACGTCCCAGATGTAGTGTCCAAGCCTGCTATCAGGAGTTGCTGTGAAATGGATATATTTATAGGCAAAATGCTGAAAAAAAATGAACAAAAACATTGAAAATAAATCAAGAAACAGTAAAACGATAGAGTTTGAGTTTACTTGACATGCGGATTTAATGATCGTATCATCGTCAAAATCCCGGAATTCCTCTTTGGAAGCACCTTGAAGAATGGAAATCAGCACATCTATAAAACCATGGTCGCTTTCATGTTCCTTGGTAAAGCTCTTTACTGTTTTATGTTCTTTTAACCATCCCCCAAAGATGTTGTCCAGATCTATCGCCATCTTCTTCATTTCTTTAATGTATCCACCCATATCAAAACACTTGAGATAAGGGATAAAATCTGAAACCACAAATGCTCCCATTAATTCAATGAATTTCTTTACTACAGTCTGAAATCGAACCCGTTCCTCATCATGTGGAGAAAACTTCTTCCCCCTAATAATCCTAACAATAATATTTACAACCAAGTTACCAAACCATTGACTCATCTCGATCTTCATCATCTCTGAATTTTCGCTCATTTTATTTAAAACCCAACGATCATATATATCTTTGATGGATACTCTAACCTCTGAAGCTCGAATATGTGCAAACGTTTCAACTCGTCGTTGGGAAAGAACCTCCAGCGTGATCATCTTGCGTGCTTGTCGCCAATAGTCTCCATATGTAGCAAAGCTGAACATAGCATAATTATAGCCCATGAGTTTTGTTGCCTCAGCTTTGGGTCGAGTTGCAAAGGCCTTATCGTTTGTAGTAAAGCACTCTTTAGCTATCGCCCCATTACTCACCACCAAAGCTTGATTGTGAAGATAGGGCCATATCTGTCTGCCATATCACCTAAAACATAGTGAGGTAGCTGAGAACCACCTAAAAGGTGCAGGTGTCCGATGATAGGCCATGCACCTTGTGCTTGTGGTGGTTTTTGGTTTTTCCTTGTATTTGCCTTCTTCCTGTTGAGGTTATGGAGAAGGAAAAGTACTACAATAACAGAAAAGCTGGTTGCTACAATGGTTGAAAACGAGAGATGGAATTCCATGTCTAATTTGTGAATCAAGAACTGAGTAAGCGCATGTACGAATGTGTGTTATAAAAAGTTTGAAGATATTTTTTGCAAATATAAGAAAAACAACTCTTCAAACATCGTCGTGTGGTTTCCAAAAAAAATAAATCGTCGGTCCTTAATTTTAAAATCAATCGTCGGTCCTTAATTTTTTAGGTCATCAAGGGTCAACATTGGTCCATATAGTTTCAAAATTTTGAATGTTTCGTCCTTAACCTTAAATTTGTTAGTTTTTTTTTCTGTTAAACTGTTGTAAAATAGGGAGTCACGTTTGATCTTCCTAACATTCTTCATGCATGTCAACGAGAAAGATAATGAACATGTGATGGTGGTGCGTGTATCTCCCCAATCCATTTGATCACAGTGATCATGGAACAAAGGTTTTTGTGACGCCGCCATTCATCAAAATCAGATCCTCCTTCAGCCAAGGGCCGCCGAATGTCAGACCTATTCCGCGTCTTTCAATCACTGGGAATTTGTATACATTCTATTTTCTTCATTTTTAATTCTATAAATTTTGGAAGGCAACATGACTTTGCGTAACTGATTTTAGTTAACATATCTGTTTTTACAATATAATTGTAGGATTGATTACTAAGCTAATGGACTGTATATTTTGATCAATTGATGCACATTGTTTTGGGTGTCGCAAATTATTACGAGCCCTTGAATGATTTTGAGAAGGAAAAAGAAATCGGCAGGTTTATCTTTGCATGGGTGCTTCTTGATTCTCAATTTATATAACACTACACATATGTTCAGAAAAAACAAAACATCACTTTTCTTATATTATCTTTATTTTAATGCATTTTATGCATTTATTTCCTTTTATCTACGTAGATCTCATTTTTTATATAAGTATTGTTATTAAAATTTGATTTTGTAATGATCGTTAGTGTTTGTTTTCTTTTTATTGATTTTAGACTTTCTAATAGTTATATAATCATAGGCGATTACAACATGAATTACAATTTGGAATAATGACGGGGCGAAGTGATTTATTTGTGATCTTATTAAGTTTAAACCTGGAAATCTAAAAATATATAAAACTTATAAATAGAATAATAATTTTGATTGTCTAATAAAATAAGATATTATAAGTTTAGAAAAACAAATCATGAATGATAAAATTGTTTTTTTTATTATTATTAACCTTGTCATTTTTAAGTATTTTATAAGTATTTAAAAATTTGAAATCGTATTGAGTAATCATATATTTGAAAACCATATACAAAGATAGTAGTCTTGTTAGTAAGATTAAAAATTTGTTTTAAAATAGAAATTTAAAACATTATTGAAATAGAATTTACGTCATGTAACTTCACATATTTGATAAAAGTCATTAGTTTGTTTCATGCAATATACGTTTGACCATAGTGAAAGAAACACACAAAAAACCATGAAAAGAAATTTATATATTATAGATGAAAAATGACGGTAATGTAATTAACATAAATAAAACAAATACAATAAATTATTATAACGAAATTAATATCACAAACGAAGTCTCGTTTATAAATTTCAAAAACTTCTTTATGGTACTGTTCAGTCTGTAATGTGAGTTTTTCTCACTGCACTTGTGGGTTGAAGACACCAATGTCGATGCATTGGATTTGATATCATTCTATGTACGCTATTGCGCTATAGTGATATGTTGGATCGATATCCTGCTATATAGGATGATGATATGTTTAGTGATCAGGAGATTTGTCTGACTGGCTATAGATTGTTATATGATTATTTGTTACATGTGCACAAGTTTGGTTGGTGGTTGAGGATTTACTACTTTCAGCGTAATCCAACAGACCGGGGCATACCAACCCGATGGTTGAATGGACCCGAGGGTATTCCATCCCGAGGATGATTGGACCCGTAGTATGTTGGCATTCCAACCCGATGGTTGAGGGTCTGGGGTATTCCAACCTGACGGTTGATTGGGCCAATAGTATGTTGGCATTCAAACCCTGTGGTTGAGGGCTTGGGGTATTCTAACCCGATGGTTTATTGGAGCCATAGTATGTTAGCATTCCAACCCAATGGTTGAGGGCAGTGGGTATTCAAACCCAATGGCTAATTGGACCCATAGTATGTTGTTATTGTATTTGTGTGATTTGTTTTGTGTTGGTATTTTTGGGGAATTTACTAGGTTTGTGCTTACAATTTTGGTTTATGGTTTCAGGTACTTCAGTGGACCGTGACAAGGCAAATATGTGACCGTACACATCCTTGGTTTTACAAATAGTTGGATTTTAGGAGACTCGGATTTTAAATAATGTTTTGAAGCAAAGGTTTTGTAACACTTCTATTAGATAAAAGGTTTGTTTTGAAAATATTTAAATTTGTTGAATTTTTTGGATGTTACAAGTTGGTATCAGAGCTTTGATTTTAGTGAATTGGAGGAACACTCGCGTGAATCTAGCCATAACTAGGGAAAAAGATTTTAAAAACGATTTTTAAATGGTTTTCAAAATAAAAAGGAGGATGCGATGTGTACGATCTGACAAAACTAGTAAGTAGACCTCAAATTACTACACAATTATTTGAGATTATGTTATGTTATGTTAGAACAACATGGTAGTAATAAGATAGGGATCTTCAGGAATCGTATGATAGAATTGTTTGATGTATGATGCCTTACCTCTTGTAGAATACCTTATTGATTGTTGTATGATTCTTTCGGGTGTAAACTAAATATTGAGTGAATGTGCTAAGACACATACTGCATGAGTTAAATGGTCTTAGGGTAAGAGATTTGGTCATGTTGCGTAGCTCTTGCCTGATTCCAACCGTTGTATGACTGAATCTTTTAGCCTATGATTTTTTAAGTTGTATAGTATGTGATAGTGTTCATGCAATATTTATCTTGCACTAGTGGAGGGTCGTATAACAGTTAGTGGTAGGCTAAGTTATGTGTGGTCATCCGGCCAATTGCGATATGTTTAGGCTTCCTCTAAGGATTATAAATAGAGTGTATGAGCATGCTAGTGTGTATCTGAGATGCTGGGAGATAGAAATCTGAATTTTTTATGAGAATCCGTTTAGTTTTATTATGTTTTAGTGCCATTCGACTCTTGTGACATCCCCAAAATCTCGGCCAGAAAAGACCGGTTTCATTTATGCTTTTTAAACGTTTTCAAAGTAAATCCTTTTGATTTTAAAAGAGATGCGGAATTTGTTCCCAAAAACAAAACATGATAAATTAATATTTACCAAAGCATTTCATAAAGAAATGTATTTTTATTATATAATCAAAACTCGGGGTGTCATGTTCCGATACAGACCATAAAGCATAAATGATAACATTACAAGTCATTCAACAAATATATACATATACAGACTTGTAAACAAAACAACTTGATGATTATCCATCTTATACCCTCGCACCACTTCCTGTAATACAAAGAAACTGAGTGGCTCAGGCTTGGGAGCCTGGTGAGCATATAGGGTTTTCAACCCACAATAAATAATTAAATTAATTTTCATCAACCAAAAATAAACCAATTACCCATTCCCGATATTCTCACTTTATGTCCCTAAAATAACTAACACAAGGGACCTAGTCTAAAAATATTTCATCAGGGCGACAACACATGCTTTTGGGGGTTTGCAGCAATATATTTCAAATAAGGCAACCATGGGGGGGATGGAGTACAACGAATGAACACCCAATGCCATTAACACCTACAGGTGGCGAGCCTGCTAGTGTTTCACAAGACTGTCTAGAAAGGTCCGTGGTCATGATCTAAACTCCGCTAGATGACTAAATCGAAACAACAATGAGGCCTCTCATCTGTTTATTATATACCAACTATCTACCCATGTTCTACCCAACATATTAGTAGATAAAAATATACATTTTTGTACATATTTTAAAAACCTGTATAACATGCTTTAATCAATACATATTCAACATAACAGATGAGGCACACACACATAACACGTATTTCATAGAGGATAAATCAGATCTATGAGATAGAAGAGAGTGGATATACATTCACACATATAACAACAAAATATATACACATAGCACGTATTTTATATAAAATACTTCATAATATTGTGTTGGAAGAAAGTAACCAGACACTCACTTGATCAAAGGATGATCGGACAGCACGACGGCTTGCAGAAGTAGTGTTTCTCCGTAGATCTGGAAGATTTTCACAAAAATCGGGCTCCTCGCGAGCAGGGCTTCGGCTCAGGAATAACGCTCTTCGGGATCCTCGGGACTTCGGATCTTGCTTCGGGGCTCGGGAATGATACCAGGGCTTTGGGATACGATTGGCATGCAAATTGAGGCAATAACTAGAGAGAAGAAAGAGTTTGAACAAGATAAAATAGCTGATCTCGGTTTCTATTTATAGGCTGGGGGTCTAGGATTACGCTGGGCGTAATCTCAATTTTCACTGGGCATAACTTGGTTACGCTGGGCGTACTTTGACATCACTGCATGCGTCAAGGTGGCACTCGATTATTGGTCAGGCAACTTGCACCCTTCTGAGTACGCTGGGCGTACTCAAATTACGCTCGGCGTAATTTGACTCATCAAACTTCTAAATTGCGTAACTTTCGCATACAAGCTCCATTTTCGATGTTCTTTATATCCACACGTAGGTGAGACTACGCTCTACAACTTTCGTTTACACTCCGTCGTCTAATTTTGAATTTATTTTTTATTATTTAGTTTTAGAAGGCCCGGACAGGAAAACTTCGTTATAAATTCATAACTTCTTCGTCCGACATCCGTTCTCGCCTAACTTTTCATCGTTTCGTTACTAACAATGAGATTGTTGATTCTCGTTTAGATTTCTTTGGCTAAAAACCGCTCGATCTCAAATCGAGTATTCGGGCTGCATACCGCTAAGTCGAAACTTCAGAAAATCATAACTTCCTCATACGAAGTCAGATTTGGGCATTCTTTTTATGCAAGCTCTCGGTGTAACGAACTCTATGACTTTCGTTTAGATAGTTCAGGCTAA